CTGGTGCTGCTGGAGGTACTGGAGGTACTACTGGAGCTACTGGAGGTGCTGGCGCTGCTGGAGGTGGTGCTGGAGCTGGAGCTGCTGGAGGTGCTCCAGGTGCTGGTGCTACTGGAGGTGCTGCTGGAGCTGCTGGAGGTACTGCTGGGACTGGAGGCCCTAGGGCTGAGGGTACCGGTTCTGTCTCTGCTGTCTCTGGAGGCGCTGCGCGGCCGCGGCCGTACTACGTTCCGCTCCTTCAGCAGGTACTACGTTCTTGGAGGAGCTTCGCTGGCTCACCTACCTGCTGACCGACTTGGGAGAGGCGCCTCGTTCTCCTCCAGTTCTGTACGTCGACAACAAGGCCATGCTGGCCTTGTGTCAGGAGCACAGACTGGAGCACAGAACGAAGCACATTGCTCTGCGCTACTTCCTTGCTCGAGAGTTGCAGCAGCGTGGCCAGCTTCGTCTTGCTTACGTGGCCTCTCAGGCCAACACTGCTGATGTTTTCACCAAGGCACTTCAGCCTTGTGATCATCAGCGTTTCTGTACTGTGTTAGGCCTTGTACCTACTGTGCCTCACTTGTTGACTTCTTGACTCTGCTTGTACTGTACTCTATATACTTATACCTGCATGCTTACACTTGCTAGGTTGTGTTCACTGTATTGTTTGCTTTCCTTTATATAACTCTGCATGTGAACTGGCCTTCTGGCCCTTTGCTTGTGCTCAGACTGTGTGGTGACTTTGTGATCCACCCTGAGTTTGCTTTGTCTTTCTTGACTGGTCTTGTGACCCCTTGTTCTCCCCCACTTTGCCTATGGGGGTGTGTCAAACATATATTTACTATAGTCTGTTTAGGCTGTTGTGGGGTAGTCCTTAGAGGGTACAACACTTATGTGTTTCCTACTTGTACCCTTCTCATTTCCTAATTCAATCATTCTTTCGCCTATTCTTTCACACCTCCGGTAGCAACAGCTCCAGCACCTGCAGCTCCAACTCCTTCAGCTCCACCAGCCCCAGGAGCTCCAGCAGCACCAGCAGCACCTCGACAGCGCCGAGCGTACCACTCACGAAGCTGCTGTGGAGAGAGGGGCTTTCGCCGCGACGGGACACCCGGAGGACCTCCAGACGCAGCACGCTCAGGCTCAGCACCCCCAGGCTCAGCACTCCCAGACTCAGCACCCCCAGGCTCAGCACCCCTACGCTCCACATGCTCAGGCTCAGCACCCCCAGGCTTCGCACCCTCAGACACAGAAACCCTTGGCTCAGCACCCCCAGTCCCCGCACTCGTAGGCGCAGCACCCCCAGCAGCACCTGAGTCGACAGCTACCTCGACCGGCTCGGCAGGGTCTACCTGGGACACACCTGAGGGGGCAGGACCCTGAGGGGGGAGGGGGTCTACCAGAGGAGTACCTGGTGCGAGGAAGAGTAGCGGGGGGGGGGGAGAGAGGCAGTGCGGTAGGGAAAAAGACGGTAGTAAGACACCGACTCGTCAAACGTGACGTCCTGAGAGGACAGAACACGACGCGAGGTGGGGTGGTAGAACTGCCACCCGGATGCATCAGGGGGGAAGCCAAGGAAGACGCAGGGAACGGCACGGGAGGACAGCTTGTCCGCTGAAGTATCGCGGACAAAAGCTCGAGATCCCCAGATACGGAACACAGACGCGTCGCCAACCTTCCCCGTCCACCGCAGAGTAGGTGTGGTCTCCGGCAAGGAGACACGAGGCTGAAGGTTGATCTGATGCGCAGCGTACTGAACCGCGAACGGCCACAGAAAATGGGGAGCAGCCGCATGGATCATGGACGTACGAGCGACGTCCATGACCATGCCAATGCGGCGCTCAGCAATCCCATTTTGCTGTGGGGAGGCCGGAAGCGTGAACGTCTGGCGGATGCCCTCCGCACGACAGAAGGCCCTCAGAAGGTCGGAGGAAAACTCACCACCTCTGTCTGAGTGCAGACGCAGAACAGGAAGGTCCGAGCCGAAACGCTCGCTGAGCTGGCGACGGGCACCGCGGATCCAGTCGATCAACACCTCAGTGACGTCACCCTTGCTGCGCAAGGGGAAGACTGTGGTGTAACGCGAGTAGTCGTCAACAACCAGCAGGAAGTAACGCTCGTGACCCTGTCCACGGATGCGGGCTGGGCCGCACACGTCCATGTGAAGAGTCTGCAGGGGAGCCTCCGTCGGAGGGAACGTGGAGGAGTGAGGAGCGGCGCGCTGCCGGCCCTCGACACACGGAACACAGGTAGGGGCAGGCCCTGGAGGAAGGGTAGGGAGGGACCGGGGGAGACCCGAGACAAGGGTACGGGAGGCCATACCTCGAAGACGAGGCAGGGAGGGGTGACCAAGGCGGTGGTGCCAAAGGAGAGTCTCGTGCGACAGAGGACGACACGAGTAGGGGGCATACTCTGGACTAGACCTGGACGCGGCAGCAAACACCTGACTAGACGCGGCTACCTGACCAGACGCAGTGACCGGAGGAGACGAAGTAGTCAGTGTGTACAGACTCGACCCAGGCCGACGGGTGAACGTGGCCAGGTGGCAGCCCGTCCGAGAGCAAGTGCAGTGGGTCACACGCTGACCTCCAGGGGTGAACTGGTCAACCCACGCATCCTGGAGGTCAGCTCCACTCACCAGGTTCGTAGAGAACGAGGGGAGGTGGAGTCCCGACAGCAAGCCCGATGGGGCCGCAGGACACGGTAGAACCGTGGAAGAGTGCGCAAGGACTGGGCCCCCAGAGGGGTCAGCCAGGGAGACTGCTATTGCGGCGCCTCCCACTGGGAGCAGTCGCAGCCCCAACCTCTTCAGTGCCAACGAGGTCGACAGCAGCAGCAGAAGCAACAGAGGGGAGAAGGGGGACAGGGGAACACCCCTCAAAGAAAGGGGTGCGACGGTCGCCGCGAGAAGCACCTACAGCTAAGATACTCTTCTGAGCTGTAGCCAGGCGCTCCTCGAGCAGGTCGACAGTGAGCTCGGTGGGGCAAAGGGAGAGAAAGTGGTCCTTGACTGAAGCAAGGGAGTCAGGGAGGCGGGTGACTAGGTAGTAAAGGGTGATGTACATGGGGGGGGGGTTCTTGGCACAGAACTCAGTGGGAAGGGGCAGCGCGGTAGCGGGCGTCACTAGTGCGGAGGTGAGTAATGAGGTCAGCAACTGTGGCAAAGGCGGCAAGGTCAGGGAAAAGGTACGGCAGCATGAGGCGGCTGAGGGCAGCAGTGGCAGGGGAGGAGTAGCGCGCAACTACAGCGTCGTACAAAGACTTAGCACTCTTGTACTGGCCAAAGTGCGCGTGCTCAGCAGGCGGCAGGTGACTACGAACAACAAGGCAAGCAACAGCGTCACGAGTGGTCCACTGCGAACGAACCGTACTGTCAGTAGTGGCAGCAGGTGCAGTAGAGACACCGGACGTGTGATTGAAAAGGGATACCCCATCCCTAGAGTCACACTGAAGAAAGAGCTGCAGGTCGTCAACCCGTACGTCAAAGTCAAGTGCACGTCCTTCAGCATCAAAGGTGAGAACAGTAGGGCTAGCCATAGCAGCAGTAGCAGTAGTAGCAGTAGTAGCAGCAGTAGCAGCAGTAGTAGCAGTAGCAGTAGTAGCAGCAGTAGCAGTAGTGGCAGTGCAAGCAGAAGGGCAGCGCGGCTCGGCAGAGCAGCGCGGCTCGGCTGGGCGGCGCGGCTCGGCTGGGCGGCGCGGCTCGGCAGGGCGGCGCGGCTCGGTTCCTGGCGGCGCGGCGCGGCAGCAGGCGGCGCGGCGCGGCAGGGCAGCGCGGGTGCTTACCAGGGGCGGGTGCAGGGCAGAGCCGCAGCTGGCTGTTTAGGTCAGGGCCGCGACCGGGGCGGTAGCAGGGCAGGGCCGCGACAGGGGCGGCAGTAGGGCAGAGGCCTCGACGGTCGGCGAAGACAGGGCCGCGACAGGGGCAGCAGCAGGGCAGGGCCGCGACAGGGGCGGCAGTAGGGCAGGGCCGCGACAGGGCGGCTGCAGGGCAGAGGCCGCGATGGGCGGCGAAGGCAGGGCCGCGACTGGGGCGGCAGCAGGGCAGGGCCGCGACAGGGGGCGGCTGCAGGGCAGTGGCCGCGACAGGGCGGCTGCTGGGCAGAGGCCGCGACGGGCGGCAAACGGGCCGACGACGGGCGGCGACGGGCCGACGACGGGTGGCTAAGGGGCCGGGACGGGCCAGCGACGGGCCGGGACGGGCCGGGACGGGCCGAGACGGGCCGGGACGGGCCGAGACGGGCCGGGACGGGCCGGGTCGGGCCGAGACGGGCCGGAATAGGCTGGGACGGGCCAGCGACGGGCGGCACGGGGCCGCAGTGGGTGGCTAAGGCAGGGCCGCGACGCGTGGCGACGGGCCAGCGACGGGCGGCTAAGGCAGGGCCGCGACGGGCCAGCGAAGGCAGGGCCGCGACGGGCCGCACTAGGGCAGGGCGCGAGGCGCGCTTCGGGCAGGGCGCTAGGCGCGCTTCAGGTAGGGCAGGAAAATTTTTAGTGGTGGGCCCTAAAAAAACGTTCCCACTAGGGAACCTGCTCAGAATACCATGTGAGAATAGTGAACGAATGAATGAGTGAACTAGCAAACAGGTGGGTACAAGTAGGAAGCCTAAAAGTGTTGTACCCTATAAGAACTACCCCACTACAGCCTAGATAGACTATAGCATATATGTATGACACGTGGGTGGTCGGCTGCGGAATCGTTGGCAAGTATTTCCGACTTGCTACGTTCTTGCTTCAGCCTCATCGGTTTCCGCTGCGCGTCTTCATTAACTCTTGTTTCGGAAATCGCGATTCCTTTACACTACTGGTTTCTCGCGCTCGTTACCGCGTGCGGTTTTTCTCCATCCATTTACGTGCCCAACATTCGTCCGTTTCCGCATCTTTCCGCGGGCCCGTGTTCTTCTGTTGTTTTTCTGCGTTTTCGTTTCCGCGTGTGGCAATTTCTATCGTGTTTCCGCGAGGCCCTGGCTGCGTGTTGCTTTTCCGCGGAGCGAGATTCCTTTCCGCGTGTAGCTACTCTGATGATTTTCCTCGCGTGTTCGCGTCGGGTACCCTTTTTGCGCGTGCAGGATGCTTCGCACTCCCTTTCCCCACTCCCCTCCCCCACCCTCCTTTCTCCCAACTTTGTTGCGGCAGGAACGCACTTATGCCATTCCCCTTTCCCTCTCATTCTCCCCTTCGCTCTCCCTTTCTCTTTCGCTCTCCCTTCCCCCCTCGCTCTCATTTTCCCCTGCTCTCCGTTTCCCCCTCACTCTCCCTTTTCCCTGCTCTTCCTTTCCCTTGCTCTCCCTTTTCCCCTTGCTCTCCCTTTTCCCCTCACACTCACTCTCCGCATTCCTCCCCCTTTCCCCCTCACTCTCCCTTCCCCCACGCTCTCCCTTTCCCTCTCGCCCCCCGCTCTCCCCGTCCCCCTCACTGTCCCTTAACCCCACTCCCGAGTTCCGCCTCTGCAAGACCACCTGCCAGGAGCATACCTTTCTCCCTCTCCCTCTCCCACTCCCTCTCCCTCTCCCTCTCCCACTCCCTCTCCCTCTCTCACTCCCACTCCCTCTCCCTCTCCCTCTCCCACTCCCTCTCCCTCCCCCACTCCCACTCCCTCTCCCTCCCCCACTCCTACTCCCTCTCCCTCCCCCACTCCCACTCCCTCTCCCTCCCCCACTCGTACTCCCTCTCCCTCCCCCACTCCCACTCCCTCTCCCTCCCCCACTCCCACTCCCTCTCCCTCCCCCACTCCTACTCCCTCTCCCTCCCCCACTCCCACTCCCTCTCCCTCCCCCACTCCCACTCCCTCTCCCTCCCCCACTCCCACTCCCTCTCCCTCCCTCGCTCCCACACCCTCTCCCTCCCCCACTCTCACCTCTGCATGACCTGTCAGGAGCGTATCTGCGCCATCTCCAAGCCACACTGTCTGCTTGCTTCAATCGGCCTCCTCCCTCTTGAATTCTCCCCCCCACAGGAGCACACGTGTGCTTTTTGAGAATTCTAAAAAAAAAAACACGCCATCCGCAAGTCACATACGCTCACATGTGTATGCCCTGACTGACTTTCTCCCTTTCCTCGTCTCCCCTCCCCTGCCCTCCCCTTCCCTCGCATGTCAATGCGGAGAAGGCACTTAAGGTTGCTAATTTGCTGGAGAAGTATGACGTGGCGATGCAGGTGAGATGACGTGGCCAGACAGGTGAGATGACGTGGTGAGACAGGTGAGATGATGTGGCGAGGGCAGTAGGGAGGGATGACGTGGCAAGCAGCTTTGATTCAAGGCTTGGTAGGAGGAGAAATGGGTGGGAGGGATTTATAGTGCTAGGAGGGAGGGAGGGGCCGGAGGAGGGTGAAAGACAGAATACTGATGCAATGCGAGTGTGCTTGGCCTCTCTTCACTAGCTTTGCCATCCTTCACTAACGTTGAGTTAATGTGTTGGGACCAGGCCGTTCGAGCCTTAAAGAGACAAGTGGATTTGGAGCCAGAAACGCGTGTGGGGGTACTAGACAGGCAGAACGCAAGTCGAGTGGTTTTTTTTGGCCTCGAGTGAGTTTCAAGTCGAGTTGTTCTCGGGCTGTTTTTATATATCAGAGAATGGATTAAAGCAGCACTGCACATAGCCGATTCCTAAAGCGCATAAAGAAGAATTTGCCTAAGAAGTGTTTTGAGGTCAAGGATTACATGGAGGAGGATATGGAGGGAGGGCATGGAGGGAGGATATGGAGGGAGGGTATGGGGGAGGGTATGGAGGGAGGGTATGGAGGGAGGGTATGGAGAGAGGGTATAGGGGATGGTATGGAGGGAGGGTACGGAGGTAGGGTATGCGGGAGGGTATGGAGGGAGGGTATGGGGGAAGGTATGGGGGAGGGTATAGAGGGAGGAGGGTATGGAGGGAGGGTATGGGGGGAGGGTAAGGGGGGCACGTGGGCCGCAGGGAACAACAGGGGGGGGCACGGGGGCCGCAGGGAACAACAGGGGGGGGGCACGGGGGCCGCAGGGAACAACAGGGGGGGGGGCACGGGGGCCGCAGGGAACAACAGGGGGGGGCACGGGGGCCGCAGGGAACAACAGGGGGGGGGCACGGGGGCCGCAGGGAACAACAGGGGGGGGGCACGGGGGCCGCAGGGAACAACAGGGGGGGGCACGGGGGCCGCAGGGAACAACAGGGGGGGGGGCACGGGGGCCGCAGGGAACAACAGGGGGGGGGCACGGGGGCCGCAGGGAACAACAGGGGGGGGCACGGGGGCCGCAGGGAACAACAGGGGGGGGCACGGGGGCCGCAGGGAACAACAGGGGGGGGCACGGGGGCCGCAGGGAACAACAGGGGGGGGCACGGGGGCCACGTAGTGTGGATTAAAGGTGTGTTTAGAGCCTCTAGATCCCAAAATATCCATCAATGCGTGGTATCAAAGCTGTGGTTCTAAGGACTGCCGTTAGAACACAATGGAGTCGAGTGGAAACGAAGGATCTGTGGCACGAGCTAATAGTGGAGTCCAAGACGACGGTGGTTCAGCGCCAAGGGGAGTGCGCACCACCCGAGGCTCACTATTGAAGGATGTGCTCAAGAACTTCATCGTCGATACGTTCAACAGCAGCAACTACGACGATGAGGCGTGGAAAATGCAGCTCTACTTTCGGCAAGTGGGATTGCTGAAGCCAATGATGGGCGTGGAGAAGAGGCCAAGCGACCCCATCCTGCAAGAGGAGTGGGACGAGCGTGTGACCGCTGGCTACTATCTCCTATCGCAGATCTTGGAGTTGAACAAGAGGTCGCACGTGATGCATCTGCTGGAAAAGCATGATTGCGGGCCACAAGCTTGGAATGTGCTCAAGGAGCTACACGCGCAACCTCAGTGGTAGTAACGCTAACGCTGGAGTGTGAATTGGCATCATTGCGGCTAAGTGAAGGGGAGCCGATTCAACCCGCTCTTGACAAGATGCGAGAGCTCTACGTCAAGCTGCAGATTGGAGGCATCACCTACCCAGAGCAAACAAAGTGCTTGATGCCGGAGTCATGGATGGTCTTCACTAGCGGCTTGAGTCTTCCTCAAGACGAGAGCCTTTGGACCCTTGAGAGGTTTCGAACTAAGATTCTGGAAGAGGATTTCAAGAGGAGACAGCTAAGACACAACCAAGATGGAGATGGCGGTTATAGAGTCCAAGGTGGCCGTTGGCGTAAGGGAAATGGTCGTGGTCAGGGTGAACGCGGACAAGGAGGGAGCGAACGATATAGAAGCGGGCGTGACAACGAGAAGAAGCAAAGGAGCAAAAGTGATGATGAAGAAGATGATCGTGGCGGCTACCGTGGGTTAAAGGGAACATGTTGGCATTGCAAGAAGCCGGGACACTCTTGGGCGAAATGTTGGAAACGACCCAAATGGTGGACTCCCGGATGTGAGGATAACGATGAAGAGGGGAACCAGCAGCATGGTGTTGGTTATGTAGCAGAGACTGCAAAGGAGAGGGAAGACACTTGGGAGAGAGCTCCAGGACAGTCTTTCCATGTGCAAGGGAACGGGGGGAGTGAGAATGCATCTGCAAAGGAGGGAGCAGAGCATCATCCCCTCAGCACGTGGATCTTAGATTCCGGAGCTGCGTGTCACATGACCCCGAGGGCGGACCTGCTAGATAAGATAGAGAAGACCTGCATCATTGAAATGAATTCAGGATGCGGGTACAAGATGAAGGTGTTGGGCGTCGGCACAGCAGCCTTCAAGGGAACTGACGGGAAGCCGGTTGTTGAAGGACGTACTCTTAGTACCAAAGCTGAAAGGGAACCTCATTTCCTTCAGGCAGATGGAGATTGCAGGCGTGTGCAGAGCTACTAAGGACGCGGTTGAAGTAGACGATTGATCGTGAACTGCGACCGGTGTGCGGATCAGTTACCCTGTTGACGGACTTGTAACTATGCTACAGTATGGATTTTGTCGACATATTGTGCATGGGTAGTGAATGCGACTGATCACTGATCGGTGTTCAACATTCCGAGGCATCACTCTGCAGATGATGTTCACGAACCATTCGCAACAGGCACGATTGATGTTGATGCCAGCGAAGTGTTGTAATTTCGCACAGCGGGTGAATGGAGTCGCGCATCATTCCCGCAATGTGGGCCTGTGGGCTGCGAATGTCGCTTTTGATTGCCTTGTGGGCTGCGAAATGTCGCAGGTGTTGTAGGGCGGTCCGGGGTTTCCTTCGACGGTGTCATAGGCAAAACCAAAATATCGACTGAGGAAGAGCCAACCCATCACGCTGGGGCGATCGTTACAACCAAGCGGGCCCCTCGTTTCACCAATCGAACCGCCCAATCAATTCTGGGGCTAAAAAAAAATCGCGATCCTGCGATCCTCCCATTTTTACCGCGTCCTAATGGAGCTGAAACATTTAAATCTCAAGGCCCAAATTGCAGAGCGCGCGGGGCAAGTTTATTCAAGTTGATGAGAGTGGTGTTTTGAGTGTTGTTTGGTTGCGAATTGTGGTTACTAGAAGTGCGAAGCAATTTGATTGGCCAACAGTTTTTTGTCGAATAGGAGAGAAGGAAACACTAGGAATACTGTGAGTGCAATTTGGGACTCGAGAACCAACCTAGTTGCTCCCTGGGGTTTGCTGAGTCAGCGAAAAACCTGAGGGTGTAGCGCGAAGATGGGCGAAACTGAACAGCCCAACTTAAAAGAAGTCAACCCTCCTCACCCGCCACCCAAAGGGCAACCTTACTAAGGTTGAACAATTTGGGCCTTGAGCTTTAAGGGGCAGCTACTTTCCTAGCTCACCCCGTTTTTATAGTGTAATACCCTTTTTTTGGGGGGGGGGGGGACAAGGAAGGATGCCGCACGGTCCTGGAGCTGCGCGCTAGCCGGCCAGGAAAACATGTAGTTGCTCCTCGTGGCCATGAAATTATGGGGCGCTCCTTCGGAACCGCCGGATGCCTTCGACGGTCGTGATCGACCGTTTCCTCCCTCCCCCCGGGGAAACAAACAGTCGTCGTCGCAACTGTCACGACGCTAATGTGAGTAAATTTCCACTGCATTTCTCCCTTGTTTAAGAAGAACAAGACCTTAGATTGTGGTAATCCACCTTGGTTTTCCAGAATTCTCCTTCGTAACCCCTACCTTAGAATTCTCCTTCATAAACCCCCTACCTTAGAATTCTCCTTCGTAAACCCTGAGAAGAATGAAGAACGAGGATGAATGGACTATGAATGAGGTGAGTACATATAGAAAACCCTAATTGGGTTGTACCCCCTATGGGATACCCCACTATAGCCTACACAACAGCATAAGCTATATAATGTTCTGACACACCCCCATAGGCAAAGTGGGGGAGAACAAGGGGTCACAAGACCAGTCAAGCAAAGCAGAGCAAGCTCAGGGTGGATCACAACGTCACCACACAGTCCGAGCACAACGACAAGGCCACAAGGCCAGTTCACATGCAGGAGTACACATATATATATAGAGCTAGACAAGCAAGAGCAGGTATATATATGTGACAGTACAAGTAAGGTCAAGAGGAGAGCAAGTGAGGCAAGACAGGTACAAGACCCAGCTGAGTGCAGAAGCGCTGATGGTCACAAGGCGCAAGTGCCTTGGTGAACACATCAGCAGTGTTGGCCTGAGAGGCCACGTACGCAAGTCGCAACTGACCACGCTGCTGCAGCTCACGAGCAAGAAAGTAACGGAGAGCAATGTGCTTCGTTCTGTGCTCCAAGCGCTGCTCTCGACACAAGGCCAGCATGGCCTTGTTGTCTACGTACAGCACTGGAGGAGAACGAGGCGGCTCTCCAAGGTCAGTCAGCAGGTAGGTGAGCCAGCGAAGCTCCTGTGCAGCCATGGCCCCGGCGTAGATCTCAGCCTCACAACTGGAGCCGAGAACAGAGGACGAGCGGGTAGCTCGCCACGAGACAGAGCCGGAACCAAGACTGAAGGTGTAACCCTGCGACGACCGCTGCGTAGCCTGGTCG